TTTTCCGTTGTATCTGCATGGACATAGGAAATTGTTAACAATCATTAACTTTCAGGGAGGAGCATTTGGCGAAAGTGGATTGAAGAAAAAGGACTTACTTTTAATTTCTATCTCTATGCAGTGTTTGGATTTTTACCATGCATAGCTACTACTTTTACTTTAAAAAATAAATCCATTTTCAACGAATAGTTAAATTAATGAAATAACTAGTAAAAGTGGTATGCCAATTTGAAATGTTAAAGCCCATATACTTTTCCCCTGAAATTCTACTTTTAGCTATGAACCCTTATGAAATTCCAGCCCACGTGTACCAAGAGGTATGTACAAGGAAATTTATAACAGCATTATTTCTAACTGTGAAAACTTGGAGGCAACTTAAAGCCCACCCATGCTCAGTTAAATAAATGATATGTAATGGATATACATGCAGCCCTAAAAATGGATAAGGTAGATGTAAAGGTACTAATGTGTCCATGTTAATACTAACTTAAAATACATCAAATTGTAGAACAATATGTATATATGTATATATTCTTCTTCTCTTTTTAAACTATATACACCCATACACACCTATGCACATGTGCACACACACTTATAATAAATCCATAGGAAAAAAGCTAAAAGAATAGATACCTCTGTGGAGAGGATGTAGGGTACGTTTTACCTTATACCTGATATACTTTGTGTTGTTTGACTTTATTTCATTCACAACTGCAATGTATTGTCTTTGTAATTTTTAAAAATAAAAAAGGAGGCTTAAAAATGACTCTAAAACTAAATTACTAATAACTAGCAACTTTGTGTTATTATTCTTTATCGCCATGCTGTTTAAGTATTCCAGAGATATCTCTGGCTATAGTGAATAGTTCTTTATTGAACCCAGGTAGGGTTCATGGTTGTCAGCAAATGTTCCCCCAAAGCCTTGTTCTCATGAATATATAAATATATACATATATAATTTATGTGTAAATAGATTTACTGAGATTTGCAACCTAGCAATGTGCTCATTAAAATTTATTTCTTAAAGGTCAGAATCTTTCTATGGATCATAAATACCAATTTATCAGGCAAAAGCTGAAGCTAGACACTTTGTAATTATTCCTATTTATTCATATAATTGCCCCCTTTTGCCCAGTGTCATCTGACGAAGACAGAGGTAGACGAAATCCTGTGGTGTTACAGCTCCTTCAGTGGTGAGCAGGCAGTGACTGCAGCTTGCAGCCTAATTCCCCAGATAGGTCTTTAGCACCAGCAATTCCCTTCAAAGGAAGCTTCTCAGACAGTGGTTCGTAGTCTTTGGGGGACCACAGATTCCCCTGAGGTAGTCCTGCATGTTGTGGGAGTGAAAAGAGCACGAACTTTGCAACTGGACAAATCTTTGTTCAAATCCCTGCTCCACTACTGGGTGGGTGACCTTAAAGGACTTACCTTTCTGAGCCTCTTTCCTCATCTGTAAAATGCCCTGCACGTGGCAAGAAGTTAGAAAAAGGCAACAATTTCATATTCCTTTAGAATATGATGGAAACTGTAGACTCTGTTCTCAGAAAAAATTCCACCTTGCATTTTTAGAATGTTGCATACAGTTTCAAGAGCTTTGCCCACACATCAAGGCTATTCTGGACCTCACGTTAGGAACCCCTGGTCTAAGGGGGTTGGAAAGAACATTTGAAGACACCTAAATAGTAGAAATAACATTTTCTATTCCTTTTGCAGGTTGACATTTTAGGTTGTGTTTTCTTTTGCTTATCTGCTGTGTTGCGTTATTTGTGTATTATGCCCACCAAGACTTAACCAGACCAAGAGGATAGATTACACATTAGAAAGTATACAAGAGAGCAAAATAAATGAGAGCTGTCTGGCACTTTAACACATCAGTAGCAATTTACCAGCGAAGTGGTGGGAAAGGCCAGGGCAATTCACTAGCCGGATTAGTGTTTCAAAGACCACTGCTAAGCATATGGATTTAATAGAGCCTTACTTCCAGTTCCTTAGATCAAAGATAAAGTTACTTTAAACTGCTTTGGGTGAGCTGCTCAGGCTTATCCTACTAGTCCCTAGCTCAGTTTTGTAATCAGAGCTAGCTAGGACTATTCTCTTTTATTTTCAAGGCTTCAGAAAAGAAAAAAGCCAAATGCCTTCAGGTAGTAGCTCAACGGAATTGCTTTCCTGTTCCTTTGCATTAGTCTGATTCCAAAGAAACACAGAAACCCCCTGGAATGTGCCTCTGCCATTAACTCAAACAGCATCCAGACCATTGGTGAAAACATATCTCTGCAGTCTGTGAAAGGCCTAATAGGCATGGATCTAGCCCCTATTCCCTTGCTACCTCTCCAACTCTGTAAGAACAGTAAATAATACACCTTTAAGAATAAGTGAACATTTCAGGGAGTGAGAAAAAATCCTATCTCAATGCTGTTATCACACACTTTATCCACACTTTCGGACTGCTGCTGTTGATGGTGGAAAAGACTGGATGTGAGGGGAGAGTGAGGCTGTACAGAGAAAAGCAACCCTGTATTTCCTCCTAAAACTGAAAAGAAGGGAAAAATACATGTGTAACTCCAAAAAGCCAGTTTTCTTGCAAGAACTCCACTCCAGAGACTTCTCCAACATCATCACTGCTCTCAAAAGAAAAATGAATTGGTTCATAAATACCAGGAAACAGGGCTCTTTGGTTAAGCGGCTGATTCTTGGGCTGAGTGGGGAAAGTACAGGATGAGCCTGTAACATTGTGTTGTGCTAGAAAGTAAGGAAGTGCTCAAAAAAAAAAAGACAGGATAAGGGGTTAACATCAAAAATATATAAAAAACTCAGATACCTCAGATAATATTATTATAAAATATGTAAATTACCTCAACACCCAAAAAACAAATAACCCAATTAAAAGATGGACAGAGGACCTGAACAGACACTTCTCCAAAGAAGAAACGTGGATGGTCAGCAGACACATGAAAAGATGCTCCACATGGCTGATTATCAGGGAAATGCAAATTAAAACCACAATGAGATATCACCTCACACCAGTAAGGATGGCCACCTTCCAAAACGCAAACAACAACAAATGCTGGCGAGGATGTGGAGAAAGGGGAACCCTCCCACACTGCTGGTGGGAATGTAAATTAGTTCAACCATCGTGGAAAGCAGTATGGAGGTTCCTCAAAAAACTAAAAATAGAAATACCATTAGACCCAGGAATTCCACTCCTAGGAATTTACCCAAAGGAAGCAAGATCCCAGATTCAAAAAGACATATGCATCCCTATGTTTATCGCAGCTCTATTTACGATAGCCAAGAAATGGAAGCAACCTAAGTGTCCATCAGTAGATGAATGGATAAAGAAGATATGGTACATATACACAATGGAATATTATTCAGCCATAAGAAGAAAACAAATCCTACCATTTGCAACAACATGGATGGAGCTAGAGGGTATTATGCTCAGTGACATAAGACAGGGGGAGAGAGACAAATACCAAATGATTTCACTCATTTGTGGAATATAAAAATAAAGCAAAACAGAAGGAACAGAATAGCAGTGGACTCATAGATACTGAGAAGGGACTAGTGGTTACTAAAAGGAATGGGTTGGGGAGGGTGGGGGAAAGGGAAAAGGGGATTAAGGGGCACTATAATTCACAATCACAATATAGGTAGGTCACTGGGATGGTAGTACAGCATGGAGAATACAACTAATGACTTTGTAACGTCTTAGTACATGATAGACAGTGACTGCAGTGGAGCAGGTGAGGACTTGATAATATGGGTGAAAGTTGAACCACTGTGTTGTATATTTGAAAACATCATAAGATTGTATATCAATGATACTTTAATAAAAAATGCCCTTAAAAATGCAGAAATGTGTCAAAAGGATATGAGAGCCAGACTGAAGGACTCCCACTTGCCAAATCTGGGCCAATTTGAACATCAAAATAAACCACAGCAACAGATTGTAGCCCATTGAATAAAATAAGAATCAATGAGTTCCTGCTGATACAAACACATAAACAACTGAAGGAATAAGTAAGTCAATGTGTGAGAACACTTTTCCTTACAATAGGATACTAAAAATAAATGTAGAAAAATGATGGAGTTTTAAAAATCATTTTGCAACCACCATAGTAACTGGATCATAGACTGAGGCAAGACTCATCAATAGATGTAAAACTATTGGTGAAAGTTTGACAAGAACAAGATATTTACAGAGCCTCCAAATATCTCCCCCCAAATAACTTATTAATTACAATGGAGAAATATAGTAACTTTATAGTGGAGAACCAAGCAATTATCATCAGAACCAAGCGATCAAAGTTGTCATCACCAGTGATGGGACAAATTGGCATCATGAAAGACGAGGAAAGACTAAGGATCTGTTCCGGATTAGAATCTAAAGAGACTTAACTAAATGCAATGTGTGATCCTGAACTGGATCCTGAACCAAACAAAAAGTAGCTATAAAGGAAATTACTAGGATTGGCTAAATCTGAACATGGACTATGAATTAGTATTGTATCAATGTCAAATTTCCTGATTTTGATCATGGTACTACGTAAGAGAATGTCTTTATTCTCAGAAAATACACACTGACAAATTCAGAGGCAACGAGGCATCATGTCTGCAACTGGCTCTCAAATAATTAAGAAAGAAATAATGTGCATGTGCGTGTGTGTACAGGTATGGAGGGAAGCAGAAAGAGAAAGATAAGGTGAATGATAAAACATATGGGGAAAATTTAACAGTCGGTGAATCTGGGAAAAGAATATATAGAAGTTCTTTGTCCTATTCTTGCAATTTTTCTGGTAAGTTTGAAATCATATAAAAATAAAAGACAAAGGAAAATAGTATTTGCTCTGCATTAAAAAGCAGACGACAACACTGTAGCAACCTTGGGCCCCTCTGGGGAAGACAGGGCTTTGGCCCAGGAGTAGGTTGTTTGGAGCCCTGAGTAGAGTTAGTGCATCCTCACTACCTTTGTTAGGGAGAACAATTCACACGTTACTCACAGCAGCGCAGTCTCATGTCAACAGCCGGAATGACCTTGTTGATGAGCCAAGTATCTTCTTCCCAGCTAACTATATTTCCACTCAAACACTTCATAAACTCCTCCTTTTCCAGGATGTGGTCCCAGAGTTGAAGGTAGTACAAGCTTCCGGTGAAATCTGGCACCACGCTTTTAACCTGGCTGTCCCCATTCTTGAGAAAATGTCCTAGAACCAGAGTCCCATTAGGTGTCAGGTTTTGTGGTTGATCCATCATTACCAGTATCCTTTCTTTATTCAGGAAGAACTCTAACCTGCCCTTCACACCATCCCATATCAAGCATATTGTATGCCACTGTAATGGAGTCAGTTGGTAACGGATATAAAAGGTCTTGCCCAAGTTGTATAGTATTAGCTGCTGATGGTCTCCTGCAAGTCCAAGGTCTATGACTTCTCCACCCAGGAAGGTGTTATTAACAATATAGGAGAAGGCCATCCAATCATTTGATTTGTCATCCACGAATAGCAGGTCAACACACACTGTGAATCGACTGAGTTCAGGAATGGTGCTGGTCAGGGTTACATACATGTCAGCTCTTCCATAGAAATCCAGCCTTTTTCCTTTTAGTGAAAATGCATCTTTCCAAATTTTGGGAAGGGGAAAGAGAAAACAAATGAAATTTTAGTCTCAAAAAAATCAATTTTATCATCTTCATTAGCCATATAGTCAAATCCAGATCATACAATACTATTATGAGTTGATAATGGTTCAAATAAGCCAGATAAGTAGACACAGAAAAATCATCCCTATTTGTCATTGGCATGTGACTTTTTTGGCAGAAGAGTTTCTTCCTCATTATATTTTGCCTGGGCTAATATGAAAAGTTAGCTTAATGCTCCCAGAGCACACACCAGCTGGGCAGTTTGGGGAGGCAATGACAAGTACGTGGCTAAAGGAGGGGAGGAGGCCAAGGAAAAGGCAGCTTGGACTTAAAATTTGGGATACATGATCCTCACTCATATAATCAAAAGGTAACTATTTCTATCTATGTAACTGCCTTACTATATTCATAGTGCAACAGCAATTTGTTTCTCCTTTTCCTTTTCCTGAGCCAAATTACCTGATTTATTCCTTCCCTGGAGACCACTTCTCACTGAAGTCACTGACGGAGCCTGAAGGATGACCAGCTGGACAATAGCGAAGCTCCGGGGCTTCTGTGTACACTCGGGAATGCAGGAAACGGCACTGCCCCGAATGTGTCCCGACTCCCTCTTTCTGTCTCCCCACTAAGGGGGCTGCAGCAGCTTTAAGAGGCTCTAGATGGCCATACACCCAGTTACCATTTGTTCTGGAGTCAGTCTGGGTTGGAATCCCAGCTCTGACACTTATCAGCTGTGTAAGTTTAAGCAAATAACAACCCTCCAGTGCCTCAACACTTGCTTCAGTAAAATGGGGTTCAGGGTTGTATGCATGCTCAACTCCAGGGGCCACTGTTCACATTATAGTCTATGCCAGATAATAGCCCTACCAACTGACCTTACAAGACAATGTATGCAAAGCCCCCTCGAACACCGCTGAAGGGCATGCCCGTTGGGACAGTCTTTTGACAGGCAACATCTATGAAAATTAAAGTTGAGCATGCCCTTTGTTTCATAGAACGCTACAGATACTATCATGATACCACCATCCACTGTTAGAAACCTCACACCCCAGGCCACTAGGCAAATATCTGAGGATTGCTGAACATCAACCTAATTCCAGTCCCAGCACAGCCCAAGACAAACCAAAAAGAGCTTTATGGTAGAACGGAATTCTAACCTCTCTCTGAGTTAGGGGTGTAACCTTGGGCTCTCCCCTCTAAAACTGACAGCCATAACAGCACACTACAGAGGCTGGCAGGATTCCCTGCTTGTGGGAGATGTCCCCAAATGAAAGCTTCTAGAAAACTCTCTACCCTTAGTGTTCTCTCCTTCCATTCCTCCACTGAATATCTTAATATCTTGCAAAAGCAAACGAGTATGTGCCTGTCCACAGACACTCACACATACCTGTGTGTGTGTGTGTACATGTACACGCACATGCACACGTGCACACACACACACCCATGTGCTGGAACTCATCCCATCCACCTCCTAGACAGCTATTTCTGAACTGTCCGTGGTGGATGAGTAAATGCCTATTTCTGTCCATGGCTTATTTTACCTTATCATCTTTCACGTGGCTAATAAATCAAGAGCTAATCCCACAAGACAGTAATTGCTGTGAAACCCAAGTCTCAATTAGGGTTGGTTAACATGGCTTTTCTGTTCAGCCCTCCAAAATGACGTCAAATACAACATTTAGGAATGGGTTTTATGGTGAGAATAAATCTCCAGGGCTTATTTGTCTCTTAAAAAAGAATGTGTTATAATTTCATATGGTCTCTGAGTATCTGTCCTCTCTGCAATTGACAAGGGACAAGTAACTTACTAAATCAGAAATATAAAAGATGGCCTATTTTTGAAGCACAACTTAAAACAGCAATGAGATATTATTTTTGCCTCTTAGAATAACAACATTTTCTACTGAATATCCAGTAGCAATGAGCCTGTGGGGAAAAAATTCACTTTAATACACTGCTAGTGGGAATACCAATTAGCACAATCTCTCTTTTTTTTGAAGGGCAATTTGCCAGTATCTATGAAAATTTTAATTGTGTATAATTGTGTATGATTTAACCCAGCAGTAGCGTTTCTCTCTATTTATTCTAGACAAATAAACACATATGCAATGATGCAAATACCAGAATACTTATTGCAGCATTGTTTGTAATTGAGAAAAAAAAGAGAAAAATCTGTATATCTATCAATATAAGTGACGAGTTAAGCGATTGCTACCTCTCTACAGTGGTATGGAAATGAACAACATAGATCTATATAGTTACGGAGAGATTTTCAAGGCTAAATATTGTGTGAAATGAAAGTTACATGAGTGCAAATAGAGTATTATTCTATTAAAAAAATAATGGAAAACTGTATGTATTGGCATACACATAGAAAAAAATTTGGCAGAACACACACCAAACAGTGAAGGGTGAGTATCTTTAGGGGTGAGATTTAGGTGGAATTTTACTTTGTTATTTATTTCAGTAATTTTTGTATTTTTTATACAATCATTTTTAATGCATACATACATTTATAATGAGAAAAATCAAGATAGTTGGATGGGTGGATAGACAGATAGATGGATGATAGATAGGTAGACAGATTGATAGAATGAACCACTTGAGGCCGTACTTGAGATTCTGCAGGCAGAGGTAAGTTCTGCTTAGATATGAGCAGAAGTGTGGTGGAGTGGAGTCCAAAATGCCACATCTGAGTCCCAGTTCTGCCCCTTACGAGCTGTGTGGCATGGGCAATCAATGTATGTGAAAGCTTTCAGGGCAGTGTCTGGCCTATAATGAGCACTTTACTTCTCTGTACCCTGTTTCTCAATGGTAAGATGGGAGTAAGAATCACCTACGTCCCAGGACCGCTAGGAAAGATGATGCAGTAATAAACTAACACTTTGGTTAGATACGTGAGCATGTTCATCAGCGGTGAAGCCCCATGCAAATAGCAGCTGCCATGTTTGTCCTTGTCATGGTTAGAAGCCGCTTTTCCCTCCCACAAGCCCTTTTGCACTCTCACACACGCAGGCGCGCCTGCCAAGCTCGGCCGCAGCCTCCAGGCCCCCAAGCAGGGCTCGGAGGGGGCCCGGCTCTGACACGGCAGGACAGGGGCTTGGCCCTTCTGTTTGGCCAGGCAAGCAGCGTTCTCTGCCGGGTCTCTCCAGGGCTTGCTTCAAAGGCCACTTGTGTCTTTGCATACAACTTAAGTACCCATTGCAGATGTCTGCTTGGACACTGCCATCTGTTCCCTGGCAATTTTCAAGTCCAAATTGCATGATTGCTCCCCTAAAGCACGTTCTTTCTTGATTTAGCTCCTCTGTGTCTCTTTGCCTGTAGCCTCTTTTTCCTTTAATTCGAAATTACTTTTATTGTTTTCTCCACTTAAAAAAAGAGGTGCTTTTTCCATTATAAAAGTGATACTTTACATACTTTTTAAAAGAAAAAAATGGAAAGTATTAGAAAGTGAAAAATGAGAACCAAGCCAACAGAGTCCCCCACCCAGAGAAAACCACCATTAATATTTTGGTGTATTTCCTTTGGCTTTTTCTTTCTGTGCCTGGGTCTTGCTTGTTTCTACATGGCTGATGTCATATTGTATGGAAAATTTGGTACCCTGCTTTTCTCACTTAACATTATGACATAAGTGTTTCCCACATTAGGAAAAAGTTACCATAAACCTCATTTGAATGGCAGTATTACAGCCCCAGGAGGACCAGGCACATTTTACTTGTACTGACAAAATTCACATAACATGAAATACACCATTTTAATCATTTTACAGTGTACAATTTCAGTGGCATTTAGTACATTCATGATGGCGTACAACCATCACCACTATCTAGTTCCAGAATATTTTCATCCCCCCAAAAGGAGACCCTGTACCCATCAAACAGTCACTGCCCCCCCCCCAGGCGCTGGCAACCACTAATTGATTTTTGTCTCTGTGGATTTGCATATTCTAGATCTTTTGTATAAATGAAATCATCAGTATGTGACTTTATGTGCCTGGCTTCTTTCACTTAGCATAGTATCTCAAGGTTCACCCATGTTGTAGCATATATCAGTACTGCATTCCTTTCTACGGCTGACTAATCTTCCATTGCATGGATATACCACATTTTGTTTACTGATTCATCTTAATGGATATTTGGGTTGTTTCTACCTTTTAGCTATTATGAACAGTGCTGCTATGAACATTCATGCCATTCATTCTGTTTGAACACATGTTGTCATTTCTTTTGGGTATATACCTAGGAGTAGGTCACACAGTAATTCTAGGTTTATGTTATTGGGTAACTGCCCAACTCTTTTCCACAGTGGCTGCTCCATTTTACATTCCCACCAGCAATGAAGGAGAGTTCCAATTGCTCTACCTCCTCACCAACACTTGTTGCTTTCTGGGTATTTTAATTAGTATTATAAAAGTATTCTAAAAGTAATGGAGTGGTATCTCATTGTTTCGATTTGCATGTCCCTAATGACTAATGACATTGACCACGTTTTCATGTGCATGTTGGCCATTTGCATATCTTCTTTGGAGAAATGTCTATTTGAGCCATTTGCCTACTTTCAAATTGGGTTGTTTGTCTTTTTGTTGTTTAATTGTAAGCGTTCTTTATATATTCTGGATACTACCACCTTATGAGATATATGACCTGCAATATTTTCTCCCATTCTGTAGGCTGTCTTTTCACTTTCTTGATAGTGTTCTTTAATGAACAAAATTTTTAATTTTGCTGATCTATTTTATCTATTTTTTCTTTTGTAGCTTGTTATTTTGGTAGCATCCTAAAAATCTATTGCCAAATTCAAAGTCATGAAGATTTACCTCTCAGCTTTCTTCTAAGAGTTTTATATTTGTAGTTCTTGCATTTAGGTCTTTCATCCATTTTGAGTTAGTTTTTGTATACAGCATGAAGTGGGGGTCCAACTTCATTCCTTAACATGTGTATATGCATATAAACCCAGCACCATTTGTTGAAGAGATTA